GCCGTTTAAAAGCGTGCTTTTGGATCACGTCACATGAAATGCACCCGGATCCTCAACACCTCTTATTCAACGTTTTGGGATTCGGATTTGGGTTGCATGCAATGCACACCCGAGTTTAGGAAGGTCCAATTATTAAAATTCGCGCCTAAAGCGACTATCGCATTATTAACTTTGTGGGAGGCCATGAAATTCGGTAAATGGCACGCCCCGAATGCTAAAGATTTTAACATAGTACTTAATGAGGGCCCCGCAATTTATGTGTTTTATGCAGCGAGGCTCGTCTCAGGTTTATTTAAAGGCCATCCTAAGGAACCTATGATTTTTCTATTACATTTTGTCTCTAAAAGGGCTTTACAATATGAGATTCGGGTTTTCAAGTTCAAGTCCGGATTCAAACAAAAGGGTAAAAACCTTTTAATTTAAAACCGCAACCTAACTCGAAAGCCCAATTTATATTCCATTAAGCTATGAACTAAGGTCTTCAAACCAAGTCCCAAAACAGAGAATCTTAATGGAGCTCGGATGAAGATCGATCAAATGGGCCTGCTCGGGGGCCCAAATCGAAACTGGATTGAATCCAACAGGTTTGAAATACAAATTCACATGGACTGTTTGTTGAAGCCCAATGCAACAAGGGCAAGATTTAGTGACAAATTTTATCCAAAAACTAGAGTTCAGATTAGCATATGCAAACAGCTCGATTCCATGGACATCTTTTAATTCCGATCTATATTTACACCGGACTATATATCTAAACGTTAGGCGTGGATAATAAGCAATTGATTTCAAATTTAGACGCGTGAAACTCATATTTGATCGCAATTTCAATCTGATTTTTACATTTCTGGGCATGCAATCTTGTCACATTCAGTTTTCAACCAGTAAATTAACAAGTCCAAATTCATACTACTGCTGTCATTAGTTAAATGCTCACAGCCATTCATATGTCGAATTACTAACTACAAGCGAAGATCTAAATCGGCTTCTACCTGTATACCATTGCTAACATCGACAGTTAAGCTAATCATCCAAATACAATCATACCAAATTAATGAATATCAACAATCCGCTATGAATTAAAAGTCCAAACAGTCCGGTCTTAATTAATTACAATGAACTACACTAAAACATCAGTAGTAGCAAAATCAATACAACATGCTTCATTTTCATCCCAATTTCCAGCTTGCAATATACACTTATATTTCCAGATCTCCTGAGTTAGGGGAAATACCTGGAGTTTATAATGAAACAAGGAGAAGAGGGGTCAGCAGCAGTTCAAGTCAGCAGTATCACAGCGAGTAAGTTTAAAAATCCAGCAATGAGGAACCAGTTAAACAGAACCAAAATCTGATTGAGCAGCTAAATCTACTTGAAATCAAACCAGGAAATAGTTCGAAAACCAAAGGGAGCAATAAGTCAACTGGACATAACTCGAACAGGCCCAAACAATAAAACAGTATATTTTTTTTTGTTAAGTTTCTTTGCTGTATTTGAATCTGAAGTTCGAATTTCAGATCTTAAACTTGCAGAAAATGTATATTCGGGGAAAACTGGAGCTGGAAGGTTTTGGAAAATTCTCAGGGGTCTCCAAACTTGCTAAACAAGGCAATGTGTGTGCCTTTTATAGGCAAAAATGTAAAGCTTTCTTCAGATTTTGTTTTTCTCTTTAGTCCCTCTCCTTTTAACTTTCAGTCCCTCATTTTTAAACTTGTTATCCAAGTAACAACACCTATTTTATTGAAAACTATACTAAAGTCTATTCTAGAAGGTCCTACACCCACTGTAATTCCTATACTACCCTTTCCCTACTTTTAAAATTACTATTCCTAATAAAACTACCCTTTTCTATGCCCGAATTAACCCTGACTACTCCCTGAATTGCTAAACCATACCAAACTAACCCTAAACCTTTGAACTTGGTTAACAATGACCATGGTTAACTAATACGGCCTGGAAGTATTCAGCAACAACCAAACAACACTTCAATTAACAAAATTAAACTAAACTTATTCTTAATCCTAAATTAATCCCTATCGGTTCCAATTAACAAACTATTTGGGCAAATAACAATTAAACAGGAATCATATCATGAATCGAACACTCGAAAATATGAATCATACTGAATCAAAATTAATTCTGAGAAGACTAAAAAGAAATCAAAACTAGAAAGCAAATTTTAAGAACAGACAGAAAAATCAGACAGAATCAATTCTACTGAAATTCCCTAAACTATATACTGGGAAAAATCAATAATAACTAAAAAAAAAGTAAAGCAAAAACAGTAAAAGAAAAATACAAGAAAAACTTACGCGAATCTACAATCGAACTCAAACGCCTTCGAACTTGATCCCCAAATGATGTTATTTGCCTATTCTTTGCCAAAAATAGGCAAATATCATCATATAAGGATCAATTACCCACTGAAGCCCCAAAGACCCCATCCGGAACCCTAGATCTGGGATTCGAGCAACTCTGGTTAGATTTGAAGAAAATTAACTTGAGATTCGGGAAGAAGAGGGTAAAGAGAGTGTATGGTGTTAATTTGGTTGAGTTTGGAGAAGATAGGGTTTTGGCCGGATTTTAGATTTGAAATCCGAGCATTTTGGTTGTGATTTGAGGGAAATTAGGCTGGGGGTCGGAAAGAGGATGATGAGAGGATTCCATGGTGTATTTTTTGGGTTATTTGGAGCACCGCCGCCGGCGGAGGCGATTTCCGGCCGGCGGCGAGCGGCGGCGGAAGGCGGAAGGGGGCGGAGATACGGTGGGGCTGTGGAGGTGAGGATTTCCGGTGGGGAGAGGAGTGGGGTGTGAGAGAGATGAGTGAAGTGGGGGGGGTGGGTATGGTTAGGACACGTTATATATTAAAGGCATAGGGGGGTTCCCGTCCGTTGGATCAAGAAACATAGACGGCTAGGATTAATCATAAACACAACGACGTCGTTTTGGTGGTAAGGGAAACTGGACCGGATCAGGGATATTTGGGCTGGGTCTTGGCCGAATTTTGGGTCCTCTTTTGGGCTAGAATTGTATTTTGGCCCAAATTTTGGGTCCTTTAACAAGACCAACTCTTTTAATTCTTTTTCTTTCTTTTTCTCTTTTTTGTATTTTTATATATTTGTTTATTTATTGCTTATGCTAAAACAAGGACATAATTAGACTATGTATTCCTTAAAATATTCAAAACTCTATTTTTTTGCAATTTTCTTTTTATTTTAAAACTAAATTAATACCTAATTAATACTAGAATTGTGAAATTAAATGCCTAAATGCAAAAAATGCAACATATTTTGTATTTTCTATGAATTAAAATGCTACACATTTTTTTTTATTTTTATGAATTAAAATGCAACATATATTTTTTTATATTTATTTTTTTGAATAAAATGCGCAGACAAAAAATGCAAACAAGACACCAAACTTATGCAATTAATTCCTAGAAATCAAATAATTAAAGGAAAAATCCTAATTTTAATGGATTTGTAGGAGTAAATTAAACATGGCAAAAATCACATACTCACAGAAATCAGGATACTGTAGCTTACATTCTCATCTACCACAATGGCATCAACTTCAAAATCTCTAAATCTGCCATAATTATCCCAATCCCCATTAAATTGTAGCATGATTGTGATTTTGGACATGATTTGTTGTTGATGTTGATGTTTTTTTTGGATTTCTAGATTGAAAGAAGAAAAGATGAAGAAGAGATATATCTGATCGATAATTTGATAGAAGCAACGACGAAGAACAGATTTTTTCAACTTTGAGTTGTTAAAACTCGAAAATTTTGAATTCTACAATTTGAATTCAGCTCGTCGAAACTCTTAGTAGTTGAATCTGTTCTTATTTTTAGGAGCTGTTCGTTCTCTTTTTTTTCTTCAGAATTTGAATTGTAATTCTGGAGAAAAAAAACGCAGATGAGAAATCTCCTTTCCCTTTTTAAAAATTGAATTTAATGTAGAATCAATTATCACCAAGATTCTCTCCTTAATTTTAGCGCGTTTTTTAGGAAATATTCTGCTCCTTTAATGCCTAATAGTCGAATGGTACAAATTTTGTAGGTAAAATGTGGACTGGGCGGGTAATATACAAAATATGCACATTTTTGATAATAAACTTTCGTATATGATATAGGAAGTAAAAAATCCCACAACAATAATCAAATCTTAGTTCCAACTCGCTGGCCAAAACAAATGAAGGGCAAAAGCCCCTTTGTTCTCCTCCAAAACTGTGGAATAAGGAAAATTCTAAATTGATTGTAAATATTAACCATTTAAAGAATATGTTCTAATAACATACTAATATTTTTTTGCCCTAACGAATAATTTTTAATTAGTTAAAAGTTGAAGTGTAAATTTGGATTTTTTTTTCTTGAAAAATTTAAACGCATGGAGTCCATCCATTTCATACCGAGCTTCGTTCATGCCAATTATAAATGCGAGACAATTTGCTAACGACAAAAATATAAATGAACCAAAAATTAACAAAAGTGCGACATTGAGCAATTTCGATAGAGTTAGCCAAATATGGTGCAACACAAGAAGCGGAGCAATGCCTACTTTTTGACTCGCTCCCTTTTTTTGTAATGTCTTGTTATCTACAAGATTACCAAGGCACACTCCATAGCAGGGCTACACGGCATGTTAGTAGGAATGTTAGTCATTCTCTCTCTAGTTCGTCTGAAACATCTACAATGTGTAATAGTTTATGTAATAGGATTGTCTCTCCATTAGGGGGAAGACACCAACCTAATTCTACTTTTGTACAAATGATGCCTTGTAGGCATCTACGGGCTCTAAACTCATGTAAATGTTTGCTATGTATAATATTGCCTATCTTTCCTACCCAAAAAAAAAAGTATTTTTCGGTATTTTTTTTTTCAATGTAAAAAGTAAAAGAAGGAAGAGAAGAGTAAGAGACATAATATTAAAGCTCTTTTTATTTATTTGATAGGGAATTAAAAAAGGGGAAAAGAAAAAAAGAGGAAGAGATAACATAAGAAGGGGATCCTCATTCCTCCCTCATCTCTTTGTGTTATCCGAACACAGTGCTCTGTGCTTCTCACCAATGTCTCTAACTTCTCCTCTCCTTCAACTTCCCCTCTCCCAATTCAAATCCCTTACCCTCTCCACCCCTTTCATTAATGGCTCCTCTTCTCTTTCCCGTCTCTCAAAACCCTCTTCCTCTATCACTTCCCCAAACCCTTCTCCCCCAGCTTTCTTGCCTCCAATTCGAGCCATGAGGTCAATGCAGGGCCGAGTCGTCTGCTCCACAAATGACAAAACAGTTTCAGTGGAGGTTACCCGTCTTGCGCCTCACCCAAAGTACAAGCGTAGGGTTAGGAAGAAGAAGAAGTACCAAGCTCATGACCCTTTGAACCAATTCCAAGTTGGGGATTTTGTTCAGCTTGAAAAGAGCAGGCCCATTAGCAAGACTAAGACTTTTGTTGCTGTACCTGTACCTCCGAGAAACCAGCCCAAGCCCAAGGAGGAAGAGAATCAGGAACTTGGGCTTCCGCTTGAATCCTCTCTGCAGCAGAGTTAAGAGTGAGAGCTTTCTTGGGCACCTATCAAATCTTGTATTCAATTCGTCTTTTTGTTCCTGTTATACTTCATGATTATCATGTATTTTGATACTTCTTATTAGATGGTAATTTATTCGGTTTCAGTTCTGATTGATGCTTTTGGTAGTATTCAGCTAATTTTCTCTCTTTATTTGAGGACCCGAATGTATGACTTTATCAGACCCGACCCGGAAACGAACCGTTTGGTACTAAGTTTTCAGTTGCAAAATTGATGGGGTTGATACTTAGCTATCTAATGTTTCTGCATTATTTTTTTTTTTTTGGGAATTTCCAGATCATAGAGTTTGTTAATATGCAAAGTCAAAAACTTTGAGTTAATACTCTGGTTCTTCATTTCCTCAGCAGTGTAGTGGAGTTCTAACTCAATGACTAGATGCAGTTTTCTTATGATTCATGTGGATTAGTGAACATGATTAACTGAGGAAATTACTGCTTTTACGGTCGTGCGAGATGTACTAATCCAATTTATTTATAAAAAAGTTCAACTAATTAGATCCTTTCTCTAGCAATGTGAATTTTGCTTTCAAATTGGTGGGGGCTGCATAATCCCACAACCCTTGAATTATCTGACTGACCTAAAGGTTGCTTTTTCCTTTGAACTACCCTGACTGCAGGAATGAAACATATGAAGCCTAAGATGTAAAATCTGTGACAATTCGGAATAACAGTTAGAAAATTTTCAAAGCTTGAGATATTCTCCTTGTAATTGGATGTATTGTTCATGGATTAGGTTCCATTTATCTTGGAGGAGAGGTAGACATTCGAAAGTTGTCTTTGTTTTGTCAAGAAAACTGTATCTATCGCATGCTTAGAGTTTTACTTGAGTACACTCATCTATCAAACATTACTTTTCCACCTCTTTGATAAAAGGTTTATTCTACAGACTACACTTATTAGAGGAAAGATGCTCTAAGCAGCATATTGTCGTAATGGTTGCTATATGTTGTTAGGATATTCTGATCAAGTTTTGCTCTGGTGCAAGCAAGAAGCTGGGCAGGTTCAGCTAGATCTTTTATCATCCGTTGCAAAAATTGCTATTCATCTGTGTGTCTGTGAGTGGGGAAGAGATATATTTTTCCTTTTTACCATCTATACCTTAGTAGTAACAGGTGAAAGAGGAAGGTGCATCAATGGGCATATCATCATATATCCAAGTCATATTCTGAACCTATGATAATGAAACATGCATAATACACAAAATCTGCATATTATCATTTAAGAGGCAACGAGCATACGGATATTGAAGCTAGCTTGCCACTTGTGTACATAACTACATACTTACCTTCTTCTTAGAGGTAAAAACTCGCCATGCCTGAGATTAATTTGAAAGCCCTGAACTCCAATGATGAAAGTAAATAGATTTCCTTAAAACTGTACCTCAAAAATCCTGTTTTGTTTCCAGTTTTAAAGTGCAAACCAGGTATTCCATATTTTCATTTACATCAATGTTTCAAAATGGGTAAATCTATCCCTTGTTGTCCAGCTTGTAGCTTCAGTGGCTGATTTAGTGTCAAATTTGTTTGTTCATTAGTTGGTTGACGTTTTACTAGTTTCTCAGCATACTTTATTTGCCAAAATCTTGTAGGTGCTCTTAGAAATTTTGGGAGGTATCAGAGACACCCTTTTACTACTGCCATCTTTTAGTCCCCTTCATTTCTTAAAATCCAGTTAATTTAGTTTGGCTGCTTCTAAGTCATTGAAATAAAACATTGACATTGAGGTAATTTTGTAAATCTACTGCACAAAGAACATAAAGCATGAAGAAGAGAACGAAAATTATACATGAGCTGACGAGAATTCTTATGTAGTATATACACATTTGTGTTGTAACAAGTTTCCTTTGATAGTTGTTATCTTGATAACATCACAAGAGTCGAGAATCTGAAGTAAATATGTCTATCTTAATGTGGGGAATTACAATTATGGGGGGAAGAACTCATCACTTCATGTGAATCCTTTTCGTCATTCTATTGATCAGATGAAAATGGTAGAGGAGGAGGAGAACTATATCATCTGTATAATGAAATTAGCATATTTCTACCTACAAGAATCAATATGCATCGTCACATTGGAAACTTGTCTTGATCTTGTGCAATGTACTTGACAAAAGGTTGTTGACAGATTCAACAGACTCCTTAGAAAGTTTAGCTGTTGGAGAGTTGCTAGTTAGAATCTGAAAAGCAATTGTTAGCAAGGATCCTCCTTCTGAACTTCTGTCCTCTGGTTTCGAAGTGATAACTAAACCCCTTGACTCTATTCCATCAGAAAGGATTGAGAAACCCGAAGGTAACACGGCGGTATTGCTCGAGTCGCAGCCTGTTATAACAGATTGCATGCCTGCAATGTCAACTGGGGCATAGACAACTGCAGATTCATAAGCATTGGTGCAAGTATCTTGGAGAATCCACATGTTGTTTTCTCTTAATTTCACTGCCTGAAAAAGAGTACAGTTTTTTCAAACTTCCAATTAGGAACAAGTTGTAGTACTGATCATATTTCTTAAGACAGGGCAAAATCAAACTCGTTTTTTAGTAACCCGCCTAAAGTTAAACGGGTCGTATATTGATCCGTTTGTTGACTTGACTCAATAAGTTGAATTCAAAACGACCCATAATATTATTAGGTCAAAATAGTATAATTTGTCAGGTTAAAAAGCAATATTAGGTAAATTAGGAATAACTTAAGCAAACAATTTAAGAAAAATACACGAGCTATCATTTTTTCTTCAAAAAGCAAAATAAAAAGAAGTGGAGGTTGGCTCATGTTGAGTTATGACTCGTTATTTGACTCATCTTGATCCTAGCAAACTTTGAGTGGGTTGGATCATAACTTCTTTATTAATTTGACATGTTTTGCCCAATCAATAAGATTGGTCGAACCGCCCATTTGCCACTTCTAAATTACTTCCTTTCCTTATAGCTTACATTCATGAAAAAGGAGAATTAATGGAGATAAACAAAACATCTTTCTATGAGAGGTATAATACTCACTTGGATTGAGACTGCATTTCCTTTGTCTTGACCTTTTGCTAAATTTGCAACGGATTGCGCTGGGCCTCCATTTGACATGACATCCCACTTAGATAACGAAATTCATTGAAAAATGTCAACACTTTGTTTTTGTTTCCTTGAAGAATATACTGAATGTAATGCAATGAGATAAATATTGAACTTACTAACCTCATGTCGACGAGTTTCATCTTTCAGGAAATCAAAGAGTACGTTGCGAGAAACTGGCAACCAAATGGATGAAACAGCACAGAGGATCACGCCGTGCGGTTCACCAGTATCCGTCAAGTTCTTCCTAGATGCCACCCTAATATCCTCTTGGCCAGTTTTGCTAGGAATCTTGTTCCATGTATTATAACTAGAAGCTCCAAGCATACGGTAGAAACTCCATGTCATTCTTTGTGCCAATGTTAGTATACTTTTTCTACCAGCAAGTGTGGCAACACCTGTTTCAATTCATTTACACAGTTTAATTTTTGAACCAATTTGGAATTAGTTAATGTAAGACATGAAGTTTAGTTTACCAGTTGTATCTTTGGTGGGAATGTTGGTTGCCATGGAGAAGAGGAGGCGCTCGCATTGCTGCTGCAGTGTAGCCATCCAACGCCTTGCCCCAAAAGCTTGGCCGCTGTTGACAATTACACGGTACAGAGAATGAACTATGCTTTTTTGGCACTCCAAGTGTTCCACCCAAGTTACCTGAACATAAGTAGCAATTAGATTTAGAGTTTAACTTATACTATATGCTGAAAAATGTTAAAGATAACTATGTAATCATTCTTAAGTAAAATTAGTAACTCGAAAAATAAGTCAAGTCACATGCAACAACAGATTAATATAGAATGATTGTTGGAAAAATGACACTGTGTAGCCACTATAACAATAATAGCCGAAAAAATGTTGTAAAATTTATATATTTTTTGTTTATATATACATTATGTATGTTATATACAAAAATTATATAAATTTTATACATTTTTCGGCTACCTGATGTAAATAGTTTCTGGCGTGGGCTAAATTAAACGTGATAATACCCATGATTGTTGGAGTTCAGTCTGATCCATACTAAACTCCAATAATGATGGTGTAAAAATCTTTGCACTACCAATGTGCATTATAAGCTAAATCCTTATATATTATATATATATATGTATATATATATATATATATATATATATATATTAATATATATATTCTTTTTCTTTCATTTTCGGTTTTAGGTCTATTTCTCTTAAAATTGTAGGTTCGTCCAATTATTTGTCAATCATAAAACTATATTAAAATTTTCCCACTTTCTTTTTGCTGTGAATTACCTGTGCTTTTAAGATTTTTCCAGAATTTAATTAGCATGCCCAACATCAGACACTAAAGTTTTACATTGATGTTCAACCAGATATGGTAATATGACCTTAGCAATGCTCTACACAAAAAATGTAGAGTAATTTTTAGTGTGGCAGGAACTGTGGGAGAGTACATGGACATACCATTTCCAGCTAGTTGTGTAGTGATAAGAAAGAAAAGAAAAAAGAAACAGATAATTAATTAGGGTTAGAAAACATGGGTACTTACCTTGCAGTGGGCATTGGATTGTTCTTGGAGAAAGCAGCCGGAGGGCAATTTTCTGCATTTCACGAGAGAAGCGTCAATGTTGTCTTCAACTTTGTCCACAGAAACGTCCACAATTGCCCACTGACCTACGCTCAATTGCTTGCAATATCTGACAAAATACACTTCTCTCGTCCCCACTACTGGTGTTAACATCTGCACCTCTGCAAACATCTGTGTACCAAAATACCCAGTGAGTTATAAAGAACACACAGACAAAACCCTTATCTTTCTCTTACAAGCTTTTTTTGGGGGGTAATTATAGTAGTCTACATGTTTTACCATCTTCTGTTTTTTATAAAACAAACTATTTGTCCTTCATCTTTCTTTTGAATTTTTTCCTCTTTGGAGTAAAAGTTATACACTCATCAGAACAAGAAAAAGAAAGAACAATATGTATGAATCTACTTACTAGCTGAACTGCACCATCCCAGCAGTTAGCACCTTCACCATTGCAGATCACGTCTACTGTTGCTGCTTTTGAGATCATCGATGGGAACATTTCTTTCCATTGATTCTTCAGGAATATATTTGCAAAGAATTTAACATCAATAAGATAGCTTGTGTACATAACCAGAGTTCAATTTCGAACTTTATGCATTTTGCGAAGTTTTTGTTTTTCTATTTTCTTAGCACATTATTAATTATGTCATTAAAAAAACTTGGATTAGTATATACTATGCAACCTTAGCTTCCATATGGGATAGTGAACCTTAAAAATAATGTAGCTTACTTATTTAAACAGGTTAAAATATATTAACTATAAATTCTTTGTGCTATCCGTATATATAAGTTATATATTTTTTTCTAGGCTAATCCAAAATATCATGATGTTGTAATACTCCTTAACAAATGCTATATCTTGTTCATAGTATCTGTCTTTTAAGTTTTTTGCACGATCCTTAAGAAAGATATCCAATAAACTTAATTATAAAAGTATTTGTCAAATTAAAACTATCTTCTATCTCTCTAAACAATATTTCACTTAATTGACACTCCACTATTTAGAGAATTTGAAAGAAAAAATATTGTAATAGATGTCTCCTTGTTTTTCTAAAACATAAAATATTTTGAAATAAATTCAGCTTAAAAGAACGGCAAATAATATGGACCAGATATATTACACCCTCTGTCCTAATTCATATCAAGGTGTTCGATTTCGAGAGTCAAACAAATTTTTTTTTGACTGTAATTTTTTCATATGAATTTTAAATATTTTGAATTATCAATTTATTGTGACTGATACTTTTTACGTAGTTTCCAAATATGTAAATATCGAAAAAATTAAAAATTGTATGTCCAAATGCATGGTCAAAATTAAGGACCTATTTGGACATAGATTCCTAAATATTTTTTGAAAAGCTGATTTGGGTGAAGTTTGATACAATAACAATAACAACAACACAGTGTAATTCCACAAGTGGGGTCTGGGGAGGGTAGGATGTACGCAGCCTTACCGCTACCCTGAAAGGGCAGAAAGACTGTTTTCGATAGACCCTCGGCGATTTGGGTGAAGTTTGACGTGAAATTGAAAATGTGTTTGGACATGAATTTGGGGCAAGTTTTGACATGTTAAAAAGTCTTTTTTTTTTCCGGCTAAAAGTCCCAAATGATCATGATTTGGCCCAAAAAGAGGTCTTAAGCTATATTTGGGATATGAAGTTTTAGTTTTCAAAATCTCCCAAAAACTAGATTAATTTTATAATCGAACACATATTTAAAATTTTTTTTTTTTTTTGAAAAAAAAAACTTCCAAAACTTAGCCTACTAAAAATTTTGAAATAACTGAGGTGGGAATAGTTGATCGATCTTACCACGTCCATGAAAGTCTGAACAAGTCGAGGGAGTTCCATGAATACTATTCCCGTCTCTCTGGAAGCTTCAATACATCTCTTATTAGGCCATCGTCCATCTCTGGGATTTTCAGTCGGAAACTCCTTCATATATTCGTCATAATTAAGTATTTCTCGTCCAGTTTCAAAGCTTCTGATCCACAGTGGTTCTCCACAAGTAGCCATTTTTTTAAGTTCTTCCATTGCTTTATTAACTACATGCATTATCCTTGACTTTTCTAGCCCAAAAATGCCAGTGTAATAATCTAAAGCGCTTCTATTTTCTTCTTCATTTCCTCCTGAACATGACGAGGAGCTATTATTATTCGGTGATGTCCCTATTGGGTATTTTCCCAATGCTGCCCTAAGCTTTTCAACCTGCATCTCCACAATTAGAAGCGCATGTTATAATGTGCGGAGGGTATGTATCGTATAATTAATGGTTCAACTCAATCCAGCGTTTTCGATACGAAGCAAGAATACATATTTACTAGAATTATAACAAATGATTAATCAGGTATTTGCACAATATTTGGTTGAAATTGAGAGAAAAAATGTTTTTAAAATAGAAATTGGAAAAGAATATAATATTTGAAAGTTGGAGTTGTACTTGAGATGAATTTGGCTTGGAAAAAAAGTTTCTTAAAAATCATTATTTTACTTCAAATGTGTTGGGCTTAAACGGCCCAATGACACTCTTAACATGGTGTGATATTGTCCGCTTTGGGCCAAGCCCGCACGGTTTTTCCCAAAAGGCCTCACACCATTAAGAGATCCCTACACCTTATATGTAGACTCCCAATCTTTTCAGATACCAATGTGGGACTTTGTTCGCACACCCAACAAAATGCTCCTCAAACTAGTTTTTAAACTTCGAATTCTCTATTCCAAGTTGAATTTGAAATAATGGACCAAATTATAAAACAAACATTTGATTTGCAAATACTATTTCAAGTTGAAGTTAAATAATGAGATTTGTGGGATTTTAGTATTTTATTGAGTTGTTGTTGTTGTTGTTGTTTGTAATTGAAGTTAAATAATGAGATATGCAATTTTTATGCTGAGTTAGGATCAATTTTGAAATCATAATTTCAGAAGTACAATGAATTTAGTGATAATAAAAATCTAAAGGTTGAATCAGTCAAATTTAAATTTTGAATCCGACTATGTTATATACGTGTTGGAACACATTGATCAAAGAAATATATATATGTTTGCTTTTCGAAGATAACGATTTGTGTTCAAATTACCTCAGCTCTAAGCCTGGCATTTTCGATTCGTAATTGATGTTCTTCAGCGGGAAGAGTAGGAGCATCATTATTGCTAGAGATAGTAAATCCACAATTAGGACAAGAAGGATTCTTCAACGTCTTCCTTAATCCCTTATTTTCTTCACGAAGTTTTTCTATTTCAGCTTTTAACAAAGAATTTTCATGGCGTTCCTGTATTGCCTGCAATTAATAACGAGACCAGACAAGACTTGACTTAGGATAAAAATTATACACTGTCCCTGTGGTTACGTACGGTGGTCTGGTCTCTGATGACATTTATAATCATATCCAAGAAAGATTCATTGCTCTTATATAAGTCCTCACTATTCGAGAATAGATTTTTAATTAATAAAGTTCTATAATATATATAATTACCTTAATTTGAGTTCGCCGATTTTGAAACCAGAACTTAACTTGCCTTGGATGAAGACCTAATTGCTTACTGAGTTGCTGCCTTTGCTTCTCATCTGGATGGGGTGACTCTTTGAATAATCTGTCAAATAAAATGCATTTTTCATAAGTATTGATGGAAGTAGAAAAGGAGACCCATTGGCTTAATTATGCATACGTTGAGAAACTTAATTAAGATTTACAGTTCTTGAACCATGTTACATGAGCTGCTGGTATTAGCTTTTTACTCAAAATTAGATTAAAAGTCGAAAAACAATTTAATTAGTGATATGAATGATCAGCTGTCGGTTGACATCAGTTGAGACTCAATAAATGAAAGAAAAGTAGATTAAGAAGAATAAAACACAAGAAATTGACAAAACTAGCTAATTGCATGCATTAGCGGGTTTATACAAATAATTTAGATAGAAAATATGTTTTAGGGAATTAATGACCTAAGACATGCATGGTAGAAATTAATGTCCGGATTCTGATTTCTTTCATTGAAGAAAGGAGACTAAGTTAAAACTCCATCGATTGGTTCTTCTGTTGTCAATTCAACAGAAAAACGTACCAGCAAAACGACAGATTTCAAGAGAAAAAAGCCTAAAGGAAAAGTAAATTTTCTCTTAAAATCAGATATTTATGGTGAGAAAGAGTTGTATGAACGTACGCCTCCATTTCTCTGATTTGTTCAGCAGTGTGTCTGTGATATTTCTTTCTTTTCTTCTTCTTACTGTTGTTGTTAGGATCTTCATCCTCTTCGTTACAAGTTATATCGGCATGCTCAAAATCATCATCAGAACCGCGTGATCTCAGTGGTCCAGAATTCTCGCTGCTAATCTCGACCGTCGATTCTTCTCTCGGCCGTCCTCTACTTGCACTTCCATCCTCAACCTCCTCCGTCTCCACGTTTCCGCCATCTCGGAAAATTCCAGCCTTCAAAAATTCAAACAAAAATTAGAAGCGATAAAACAAAATCAGAAACACGTAGAGGAAAAGGAAAAGGGCGATTTTACGAAAGCATAAAATTAATTAATTACTTACGAGACTGAGAGAGAGAGCAGGAGAGGGAAAGAAATCTTTGGTTTCATGAGAAGGAGGATGGTTATTCGACATGTCCACAACGCCCATGGCAGTAGAGGAATTGGATTATGGTGAAAATAGATAGAAAGACATAAATATAAACTGAATTTTTATTATTTGTTTTTTTCCCTCTGCGTTTTTTGAGTGTAAGAGTAAGACTGTGTTTATTGGAGAAGAGGGAGAGAAAATTAGTGGGGTATAGATGAATTAAAGGATATAAAACAAAAAAATGAAGGACCTGAGGGGGGGTTTTGGGCCGGGGGGGGGTTGTACAAGAGTGGGGGGCTGGTAGGAGTTGACTGTTAGATACGGTGGAGGGTCAGTGATTTTGATCTTCAACTAACTTTTTATTACTCCACAGTTAATGAACTATTACTCTTAAACTTCAACTGTTTATCTACGTAGTGCTAGTACTAGTTTAATTGAATGGCAAAAGTCATCTGTGTTTACACATCAAATTAAATGGATGCAAAAATAAATGTCCTTTATTCAAGCATTTGTCACTTAATTATGGTTATCTAAATCAAGTTGTTTGATTTGATATAAATACTAAATGCATGTAAATTTTATATCGATAAATATGTTGGGTTTGTTATTATTTATTAATAACAAAAGAGGTGTGAATGGAAAATGGTAGGAAAAGAAATAGCGGGAAGTGAAATTTTGAATGAGTTCATTTTACTAATGCACTTTGTCCCTCATTAGTAGAAGGAAAGAAAATCTTTGTGTATATATAGAGAAGCCCATCTTTTAGCTCTTAAAGAGTTAAGAAGAAGGCAAGCCTCGCGTCGTCGTCGCTGGGCTTCGGCTTCGGATGCCCGTTTTCTTTCCCAGATTATTTTAAATCAATTTTAATTTTCCCACAATATTTCCAACAGCTATGGCTGTTGACAGTGTCAAATCCAACAACTATGGTTGTTCTGAAAGGTTGCAAACCTTTTCAGAAACAGTACCAAATTGGCTATAAATATTCCTTCAAATCCCAGAATATTTACTTACGAAATTTTCTGATAATCTTCTTCTTCTTCTGCACAAAAAATCCAGTGTGTTTTACAGCCTTCGAGTGGTTCGTTGTTCATCGGCGTTTTTGGTACCAACACTCCGGTGAGTTAAATCGTTCTATCCTGGGAGGATATTCCAGAACCTCGGGTGAGTTAAATCGTTGCTATTCTGATTTGAAGATATAAAAACTTCATCAGAGTATTGAAATTCAAAAAACGATTTGAAGAACATAAAAACTTCATCGTTTTTCTGTAAAACAGTATATAAAAATTTCGGTTATTTTTTATTACGTACTGTTTATTGATTACAATATTATTTACTATTCTGGTTCTGCCATTAATTGAACTCTTCTGTTGTTGACAGTGAGAAATGGCAATTGATAACGGACATCCTTCTGCGACTGTTGGTGCAACAACGATAGCCTCGTCAAGCCGCACTGTTGTTCCTCCGGCCGAGAAACCGGGGAAATTTTCTAGAGCCAACTTCAAAGGATGGCAGCAAAGGGTGTTCTTCTGGCTTACCACACTTGGTATGCAGAAATTCACTAGTGAAGAGCCTCTAGTGCCTGCTGCGGACATGCCGGACAATGAAAAGTTCATGGTTGTTGAGGCGTGGAAGCATGCAGATTTTCTTTGCAAAGGCTATATCGTAAGTGCTTTAAAGGATGACTTGTACAATGTGTACAGTGCAATGAATACTTCGAAAGAATTATGGGACGCACTTGAGAAGAAGTACAAGACAGAAGATGCATGCTTGAAGAAGTTCGTAGTTGCCAAGTTTCTAGACTATAAAATGATAGACAGCAAAACTATGGGAACCCAAGTTCAGGAGCTTCAACTTATTTTTCACGACCTTATTGCTGAAGGTATGGTCGTGAATGAAGCATTTCAAGTGGCTGCTATGATTGAAAAATTGCCTCCTTCGTGGAGATATTTCAAGAACTATCTTAAGCACAAGCGCAAAGAAATTAAGTTGGAAGATCTTGTGATACGTCTAAAGATCAAGGAAGACAACAAAATAGCCGAGAAGAAGTCTCGTAGAAATTCAACGATCATGGGAGCTAATATCGTTGAGGAGACTGCTCCCAAAAGTAAGAAGAGGAAGAGGTCTTCTAGACAAACTAAGGAGCAGAACAAAAAGAAATTCAAGGGGAGCTGCTACAATTGTGAAAAAGTTGGTCAAAAAAGCCCTGATTGTCGCCTCCCTAAAAAGGATAATAAGAAGGGACAAGCCAATATAGTGGAGAAGAATGATGACATTGATGATCTTTGTGCAATTCTTTCAGAATGCAACCTAGTTGGAAATTCGAAGGAGTGGTGGATTGACTCTGGAGCCACTCGACATGTTTGTGCTATCAAAGAAGCATTTGCGACGTACTCTACTGCTGGTCCCGAAGAAGAAATTTCCATGGGAAATAATGCAACAGCCAAGATTGAAGGTTATGGGAAGATATTCATGAAGATGACTTCCGGCAAGGTGTTAACGCTCAACAACGTTCTTCATGTTCCTACTATTAGGAAGAATTTAGTTTCTACTTCTTTATTTGTAAAGAATGGATTCAAATGTATATTTGTTTCTGATAAAGTTATAGTAAGCAAGAACGAAATGTATGTTGGAAAAGGCTACCTCACAGAGGGCCTTTTCAAACTCAATGTAATGGTTGTTGACAGTGTGAATAAAATTTCAGCTTCTTCTTATTTATTGGAGTCAAATGATTTATGGCATATTCGTTTAGGACATGTCAATTATAAAACCTCGCGAAAGTTAATTAATTTAGAAGTATTGCCTAAATTCGAGTGTAATAAATCAAAATGTCAAATATGTGTTGAATCTAAGTTTGTAAAACATCCTTATAAGTCTGTTGAAAGGAATTCAAATCCTTTAGACTTAATTCATACTGACATTTGCGATATGAAGTCGACACCATCTCGAGGTGGAAAAAAGTATTTTATTACCTTTATTGACGATTGCACTAGATATTGTTATGTTTATTTGCTTAATACTAAGGATGAAGCTTTGAAGCATTTAGGCACTACAAGAATGAAGTGGAGAATCAATTGAATAAAAAGATCAAAATGACAAGAAGTGATAGAGGTGGAGAATATGAATCTCCATTTGCAGAAATATGTTAGGAATATGGAATTATCCATCAAACTACCGCACCTTACACACCTCAATCCAACGGAATTGCGGAAAGGAAAAATCGGACATTAAAGGAAATGATGAATTCCTTATTAATAAGTTCCGGATTACCGCAGAGTTTGTGGGGGGAAGCTCTCCTTACAGCTAACCGAATACTCAACAGAGTACCCCCACAGCAAAACGCAATCTATTCCATATGAAAAATGGAAAGGAAGAAAACCCAACTTGAAATATTTCAAAGTATGGGGGTGTCTAGCAAAGGTACAAGTTCCTTTACCTAAAAGGGTTAAAATCGGACCAAAAATAGTAGATTGCATTTTCATTGGATATGCTACAAACAGTAAAGCATGTCGGTTTTTGCTTCATAAATCCGATAATCCCGAGATTCGTGTTAATACGGTAATGGAATCAGATACTGCTGAATTCTTTGAAAGCATCTATCCGTATAAAACTGAATGTGAGTCGTTAAGTGAAAGACCTAAACGACCTCGGGAAGAACCAAAGGAAAATACTCCAAGGCGTAGCAAACGTCAAAGAACATCTACTTCCTTTGGACCAGATTTTGTGACATTCTTGCTTGAAAATGAGCCTCAAACTTTTAAAGCAGCTATGTCGTCTTCTGATTCGGCATTTTGGTAAAAGGCGGTCAATAGTGAGATTCAATCAATTTTGAATAACCATACATGGTAATTGGTTGATCTTCCTCCAGGAAATAAGCCTTTAGGTTCGAAATGGATCTTTAAACGAAAAATTAAAGCTGATGGCACAATTGACAAATATAAGGCAAGACTTGTTGTCAAAGGTTATAGACAAAAGGAAGGCCTAGATTACTTTGACACTTACTCGCCAGTAACAAGGATAACATCTATTAGGGTGTTAGTGGCACTAGCGGCCGTGTATGGTCTTGAAATCCATCGTATGGATGTTAAAATAGCTTTCCTAAATGGAGAATTGGAGGAAGAGATTTACATGGAACAACCTGAGGGTTTTGTGGTTCCTGGTAAAGAAAAGAAAGTGTGCAAACTTGTTAAGTCACTTTATGGACTTAAACAAGCACCCAAACAATGGCATGCAAAATTTGACCAAACAATGTTGGCAAATGGATTTAAAACCAACGAGTGTGACAAATGTGTTTACATTAAAAATACTCCGGGTCATGAAGTCATTGTTTGTTTATATGTTGATAATAAGCAAAAATATGGCAGATATAAATGCTACAAAGCGCATGTTGGCTAGCAAATTCGACATGAAAGACTTAGGAGTTGTTGATGTGATCTTAGGAATCAGAATTCACAAGACTCCACAAGGTCTAGTGATGATAGGCTATAATTACGTATTTTAGTCGATTATTACACTCTAATTTATTGCACTTTAGTTGAGTTTGCGCTTTAATCGCTAGTGTTTTGCACTAACGGTGTGTTTTATGTCTTGTAGGAGTGATTCCGAGCTATATAGATGTTATGGAATGAATTCAAGTGATTTGGAGCTCTGAAGTCTGAGTAAAAGCTCAAGGAATTAAGCCGGAATCGTGTTTGGGGGTCAACGGATGATAGTTAGAGCGAACGAAGAATCGAGTAGGCATATTGCATACTGTCTAGTAAAATGGATATAATTTTTTTCTTAGAACTCCATTTGGTCTCCACAATATATGGTTGGAAAGCTAACTCAAAGAGCTACAACTTTCATGTTTTACATTTTTCCAAATTCCAAACGGAACGGGACGAAAAGCGCAAGATTTGAGCCAAAACAAACGAAACCGGGAAAAAAGGGCCAGTTGGGCGCCACAGGCAGCGCCTGGCGCCACCTGTGGCGCCAAAAACAGTATGCACAAATATTTGGGCGCTATGGAGGGCGCTTGGCGCCGAGCTGGGCGCCGGTGACGTGAAATTGTCCTATTTCGCCCGGGACAAGGTTATTTCGGCCCTAGACCTACCCACCACGTATAAAAGCAAGACTAAACCTATTTTTGAAGGGGAGGACGCCACTTTAGAGAGATAAAACATACTTTGGAGGAGAATTCACG